GTAGATGAAGGTATGTTCTACGTGGATGAAATCATGTTCTACGTAGATGAAAGCATCGTCTGCGCAGATGAAATTATCAGTTACTAGATAAAAGTATATTCTGCGAAGATGAAAGCATATTCTACGCAGATGAAAGCATCGTCTGCGTAGATGAAAGTATCAGTTACTAGATAAAAGTATATTCTGCGAAGATGAAAGCATAGACTACGTATATGAAAGTATCAGCTACAAGATGAAAGTAAATTCTACGTAGAGGAATGTATCTTGTGCGTAGAATAAAGTATTTATTTCGTAGATGAACGTACCTTCTACTTAGATGAAAGTATCATGTCAGTAGATGAAAGTATCATCTACTAGATGAAAATAATTTATACGTAGATGACAGTATTCTCTACATAGATGACAAAAATGTTTTTGACTGACATCAGTTTCGACACAAATGCGCAACATTTGGAAATGTCCACCATGTCAAGTATAAGAAAGCTTTGAAAGCATTTCTGAGGCCTTGAATGTGATCGAACAACTTCTGAGCAAGAGTCGTATGGCGCTCTTTGAAAGTTAATAAAAAGAACATGCTTGATTGCACCTCAAACATCCTGGGGTCGGTTGTACAAAGCGTAACTCCCATACCTTAACATAGACTGAAGGTAGTCTTAGCACTAAGGTGATCGTAACTCCCATACCTTAACATAGACTGAAGGTAGTCTTAGCACTAAGGTGATCGTAACTCCCATACCTTAAGTACACATTAGGTAGTCTTAGCAATAAGATGATCGTAACTCCCATACCTTAACATAGACTGAAGGTAGTCTTAGCACTAAGGTGATCGTAACTCCCAAACCTTAAGTACACATTAGGTAGTCTTAGCACTAAGGTGATCGTAACTCCCATACCTTAACATAGACTGAAGGTAGTATAAGCACTAAGGTGATCGTAACTCCCATGCCTTAACATAGACTTTAGGGAGTCTTAGCACTAAGGTGATCGTAACTCCCATACCTTAACATAGACTTTAGGTAGTCTTAGCACTAAGGTGATCGTAACTCCCATACCTTAACATAGACTTTAGGTAGTCTTAGCACTAAGGTGATCGTAACTCCTATACCTTAACATAGACTTTAGGGAGTCTTAGCACTAAGGTGATCGTAACTCCCATACCTTTACATAGACTTTAGGTAGTCTTAGCACTAAGGTGACCATAACTCACATACCTTAACATGGACTTTAGGTAGTCTTAGCGCTAAGGTTGTTTTTGACAACAACACCCTGAAATGTAAGCCCTAAAGGCTGGAGCTGTTGGAATTTTCCTCGACATAAAGGGAAAGTTGGCTGATGGAAAGTAGAAGTCATCTCTCTTGTTATACTGCCATGTGGACCTTTATGCATAGAAGTATGAAAGACATGAAGAGGTCTCCTTTGTTTTAAGTGGGTAAATCAGGGTAATGGAATTCACTGTTTGGTTGTTGCTGAAAGATATTACAGTCGATATACCAGATGCTTAAGTTTAAATTATTGGCCAAATTATCTGGGTTTTTTTTTGTTTTTGTTTTTTTGTCATCCGGAACAGAAATGTTGACTCGTTGGCATAAAGAAGCAGAAGTTTAAAGAGGGGAGCTTGATTGGTGCACATGGGGATATCTAGTTTTTGTCCAAAATTAATGTTTTACCCCAAGAAATTACGCAGATGTTATCTATGAGAAAGTCCAGCATGTCACACATTGTTTCCTCAGAGAACTCATCTTCATCTATATGTTTTATTAACAAATGCTAAATGTAACAAGGAATGAAATGTTTATTTAAGTTTGTCATGTGGGATAGTGGTTTACAAAGTTGAAAAATCAAATGTATTGACAGAAGTGGACGCTATCCGTTTGTTAGATTGTGAACATTCGAGCAAATCCTTCACGTTTTGGAGACTCGGCATGATGTCAGTCATACTTGTCTCAAATACTGCCCTTTTGTTCGAGACGTTTTCCAGAATCAAAACAAACTCCACATTCAATATGATACTCGCTCTTATTTAAAGCTAAAACTGTTAGTGTGTCGAACAGGTCTTTTTCACGAGTTCGAATTTGAATGTTAGGCTATGAAATTAAAGTTCGATTTTTCTTGAAACCTTCACCTGATAATATTACTCGTGCGTCCATTTTAAGAACACGGAGCAATGATTTGGTTCGTGAATTAATGCTATTATAATAATTACTATTCATTCTTTGCATATATTAATTACAATTTTTGCATTTGGTTTCAATTAATTTGTCACATAAAAATGAATAATTAATTAAAGTTGAGAGGTAGACCCCTTTATTGCTGTGACCTTAATGAACTGCTAATCTTCTTTAATTCATCATCTATAAAACTAAATATCTGAAGTAAATATTGTGCAACAGAGCCAGACTAAACACTCTTTTTTAAAATCAGCATACTCACCCCATCGTTGATCAGTAAGAATCAAGATACCATTTCGGACTACTATCATCCACTCGAACCATTTTGAGTTCTCCCACCTTGAAACCAAGGAGAAATGTATCTCGATCCTTGTGTTCAAGACTGGTAATGTCAGTATGTTTAAGTCGTCATAAGGCAAGTCGCAACTTGGTCCCCTAGTCTCGCACTAAGTACTCTTCTGTCACTTCTAACAATGCCCCCACGTTGTGCAACGGACCTTAACAGTACAACGTCTAAACTGTTACTACAAACTGATTGAACGATAGCTCTGTCTTCGTGAACCTACACTGAACCCGGGCTATCGGGGTATGGCAAGAAGATATTCCAGGTGGAAGGGTTCCTGCTTGCAATTCCATGGCGGGAGAAAGATACAAGTAAGTAGTTTATTTTTGCGTCAAAGAAGGCATGGCCAAACTGTAAAACGATGTCAAAAGCCGTTAATTGATTTCACCAAGTGTTGGTACATGTATCCTGCCGAGTGCTGATGCACCAACTAAGATCCGTTGTTAAACCGCTCCAATGACAAAGCCATTCTTGGGGGCTTCGTCACGCCGAAGCCCGGGTTCGATTCCCCACATGGGTACAATGTGTGAAGCCCATTTCTGGTGTCCCTCGCCTTGATATTGCTGGAATATTGCTAAAAGCGGTGTAAAACTAAACTCACTCATTTTCTGTGGTGAACAGACCGATCATATGGTAAACTGATATTGTCGAGACGACAGATACTTTCTGTTGTGAACAGACTGATTATATTGTAGACGACAGATACTTTTTGTTGTGAACAGACAAATAATATGGTGGACTGATATTGTCGAGACGACAGATACTTTGTGTAGTGAACAGGCTGATCATATGGTAGACTGATATTGTCGAGACGACAGATACATTGTCTAGTGAACAGGCTGATCATATGGTAGACTGATATTGTCGAGACGACAGATACTTTCTCTAGTAAACTGGCTGATCATATGGTAGACTGATATTGTCGAGATGACAGATACTTTGCCTGGTGAACAGGCTGGCCATATGGTAGACTGATATTGTCGAGATGACAGATACTTTCTCTAGTAAACTGGCTGATCATATGGTAGACTGATATTGTCGAGACGACAGATACTTTGTGTAGTGAACAGGCTGATCATATGGTAGACTGATATTGTCGAGACGACACATACTTTGCCTGGTGAACAGGCTGATCATATGGTAGACTGATATTGGCGAGATGACAGATACTTTCTCTAGTGAACAGGCTGGCCATATGGTAGACTGATATTGTCGAGACGACACATACTTTCTCTAGTAAACTGGCTGATCATATGGTAGACTGATATTGTCGAGATGAAAGATACTTTGCCTAGTGAACAGGCTGGCCATATGGTAGACTGATATTGTCGAGACGACAGATACTTTGCCTAGTGAACAGGCTGATCATATGGTAGACTGATATTGTCGAGATGACAGATACTTTGTGTAGTGAACAGACTGATCATATGGTAGACTGATATTGTCGAGATGACAGATACTTTGCCTGGTGAACAGGCTGGCCATATGGTAGACTGATATTGTCGAGACGACAGATACTTTCTCTAGTAAACTGGCTGGCCATATGGTAGACTGATATTGTCGAGACGACAGATACATTGTCTAGTGAACAGGCTGATCATATGGTAGACTGATATTGTCGAGACGACAGATACTTTCTCTAGTAAACTGGCTGATCATATGGTAGACTTATATTGTCGAGACGACAGATACTTTGCCTAGTGAACAGGCTGATCATATGGTAGACTGATATTGTCGAGATGACAGATACTTTGCCTGGTGAACAGGCTGGCCATATGGTAGACTGATATTGTCGAGACGACAGATACTTTGCCTAGTGAATAGGCTGATCATATGGTAGACTGATATTGTCGAGATGACAGATACTTTGTGTAGTGAACAGGCTGATCATATGGCAGGCTGATTTTGTCGAGATGACAGACACTTTCTCTAGTGAACAGGCTGATCATATGGCAGGCTGATTTTGTCGAGACGACAGATACTTTCTCTAGTGAACAGGCTGATCATATGGTAGACTGATATTGTCGAGACGACAGATACTTTCTCTAGTGAACAGGCTGATCATATGGTAGACTGATATTGTCGAGATGACAGATACTTTCTCTAGTAAACAGGCTGATCATATGGTAGACTTATATTGTCGAGACGACAGATACTTTCTCTAGTGAACAGGCTGATCATATGGTAGACTGATATTGTCGAGATGACAGATACTTTCTCTAGTAAACAGGCTGATCATATGGTAGACTTATATTGTCGAGACGACAGATACATTGTCTAGTGAACAGGCTGGCCATATGGTAGACTGATATTGTCGAGACGACAGATACATTGTCTAGTAAACAGGCTGATCATATGGTAGACTGATATTGTCGAGACGACAGATACTTTGCCTGGTGAACAGGCTGGCCATATGTCATTCTAATGATAAACCATGCCAGCATAAACAGACTGCATACATTGTATGTAGAATATAACGACACAAAATGTAAGGAACAGAGTTTATTCTAATAAACAATATTTGTGTACAAAGATTATAATGAGAATCTGGAATGAGCTTGAAGTCAACCAGCATAACAGTGGTAAACAGTCGGATTATATGTTTCGGACGCAATGGGGAGGTTTATTGCTCCATACAGAAATAGATGATGACCTGCTTTTAAATAACGTTGTCTTTCAGAAGTTCTTGTTTTTACAAATATTAATGAGATTAGCGAGGAGGCAATGGATGTTTCTTAATGTTTCCGTAATACGAGCATATGTATAATATATATGGCATCTTAAATTGAACCGTTGGACAGATTGATCAGCAGGTCAGGGAGAAACACACAGATACACACACAGATACACTCACAGATACACACGCAGAGGAGAGAGACAGAGAGAGAGGAGGGATTGGGAGACGCATACAGAGGCAGTGCTAGAGAGGAGAGGTGGGTGAGGGACATACAGACAGTAAAAGACAGAGAGGACATACACAGGAGCAAGAGAGTGAGTGAGAGGGAGAGTTGAGAGAAATGCAGAGGTAGAAAGGAGAGAAAAGGGAGAGAGATTGACGACACACTACTAGCGAATAGGGTAGTAGATACAAAATCCCAGAGAGGACTTTGGACCAGAAGATATTAGTTAAAAACACATCAAATAAGACATATTATAGATATTTATTATATTATAATATTTGCTAAACAATGCAATATTGATATAAATGGGACGGACAGGCGTTAGTTAAATAAACATCAATTTAGTAAGACATATTATAAATATAATATTTGCTAAACATTAATATTATTATAAATGGGACGGACAGGCATTAGTTTAAAAAAAACATCAAATTAGTGTAACACAGATATTATAAATATTATAATATTTGTTAAACAATAAAGATTATTAAAAATGGGACGGAAATAGGGTTGTACAATATCGAACACCTGAAAGTACATATTCTCACCTACTTAACTGTTACAACAAGCTATCACTGGCGTTGCTGTCCCAACATAACAATCTATAAAACATGCATGAACTATGTGTGATCAGATCGTTTTCCCCATACAAAAGAATAGAATATATCTTGAGGAAAACTGCACTGCGTGTCCATCAAGCTTTCCGCATAGTTATGCTCTCTTATTGATAGTTATGTGGCGGTCGTCTATTGGACATATTCTTTTATGCCCCGTTCAGAATAAACTTGAAATAACAATTTACTTGAAGAACGAGGACAAAATTTTATGGATATACAACTTTCTTATTCTGTATAGGCGACGTTTCAACATAGATTCTAATGTCGTTATCAAGCAAGCGGTAGAATCCATGTTGAAACGTCGCCTGTACAGAATAAAGAAGTTGATTATCCTCAACTTTTAGAACTTCAAACAATAAACTTATTAAAGATAATCTTACATGTTTGACATAGTGATAATGTAAATATTACATATATCAAGAGGGACGGAAAGCAGATATACCCTTACATTATGTCGAACACGAACTAGGCAGTAAATATATCCAGAGTGTATCATATAAAAATAGACTGAAAACGGTAAACGCCCTTAAAAACAGAAAAATGTAAACAAAATAGTCAAAACAAATGTAAACAATTTAAGATCAAGATCCACGGACTTAGATGGTAAAGACTTTATATGTGTATATACCCAATTACAAGATACAAACGCAATAGTTCCATTAACCATCCACGTGTGGATATCACAATATACATGCTATATGATATCAGCAATATTACACTAGCAAGTCTATACAGCCTTTGAACGGATTGTTATCTATATGACTGTATATGCCTGGATTAATTCCTGGCCTCTATTTGTTCATTGCCATTACAAATCAGCGCCAAGTAACTACTGGTTTCCCGTTGTATCTTATCACGGTTGTTGCAACACAGGTACTTATACAGCTATCTGCTTCCTAGTTATTTCTGACGTTAAATAATAACTCACTCACTCACTCCTAGTTAGTTCATTCACCTGATGAAGGAGTAAGAATATACTCCGATCCATCGTGTTCCTCAAATAAAGAAACTGACATCCATAAATTCCAGCCCTTTGTTATTATATTATATGTACATGTATCTCTAATTATTCACTTGATTATGTCTATAAACATGTAATACCCTGTACCTTTCAAAAAGAAATAAAGTGATCAAAAAAAGAAGATTTATGTTGTACCTCTTTGTTTCTTTGGAAACAACATCATAAAGAATATCATGAGTAATATTGTCATGCGACCTGCATGGCATGTATGACATGATATAACAGACCAAGGCCCTAATATAGAACATAGAATCACCTCGATCGGGTCTCTGATTGGTGTAAACTAAGTTGGAAAATAATTTGTGACAATGTACTTTCTAAACAGGAACATTTCATAGTGCATATTTGTCATTACATGAAATGGTTTCAGCCCCTAAATTATTTGTTAAAATCATGGATAAACTGCTACATGCCTTTGGTTAATAACATCGTGCCAAATAACAATGCATTAACAAGTATTTCAACAATTGGTTGAATAAATAAACAAGGTGTTTATCCGCCTGATAATTATAAAAAAAGGTAACAAGTACAGATGGAAGGAAATAGAAACTTATGGTCTACTCCCATTTGTGTGTCTCACAACTGGGAGTTCTGACAAATGGGAGGACACCGAAACTTATAACTTCTCAGTATGCATAACAGCAGAATATGTTTTATGACGTGGTGTATCGCTGTGGGTTGTTGACTTGTAGACGGTTACACATAACGGTTTATAGGATTCACCCTGCACATGACAAATGACTCGAACATGATTATACAAAATTTTGATTAATTTGACAAAGCTTTTCCTGAAGAAAAACAACACTTATACAATTCACTAGTATTTGCAAATACCCCTCATAGCTGAATTTAATATATGAACATTTATATGAAATGACATTTGACATTTTGAAGAAGTACAAAACAACATATATTATATGAAATTATATAAATTGTGTTTTTGCATATATCACAATACTACACATAGGTAAAATCCACATAAAGTAAGTTTTTCTAAATAAATACGTGGATTAACTTACTAAATGAAATAATTAAATGGCATACATACAATTAGGACGTGTTTTACAACTAGGTGTTTTGTTTTGAAGTTGCACTAAGTTCATTAAACACAAATTGTCGTCAAGTTGTCAATTATCAGGTTGGTATATAATTTGCATAACGTATTAGCACATGTAAAACTTTACTGTCACTTTACTGTCACATTCTACATTCATAGTATGATACTTATCATTCAGAAGCGAGCTGTTCAAAATCGCTAGTAAACAACTGTTATACAATAACAACATACTAAACTATGTCACAGTGACTAGTAGGTCATTTTAAGTTTAGACAATCTATCTATTTACAGAGAGTTATATTACATAAGATATAAAATATATTTGTCTGTTTCTTCATTTGTGTCACATCAACAATATCTCTTATTAAGTCAATATAGTTTATTACTACCAAGGTTTTATCATGAGTGAGTTTGGTGTGACGCTTTCAGTAATATCACGGTGAGTTTCTGTATAAAGTCTACGCCAGAAGACCGCCTCCGTGGTGTAGTGGTTAGAGCGCCCGCCCGGAGAGCGGACGGTCGCGGGTTCGATCCCCGACCGCGTCATACCAAAAGACGTTAAAACACTTGGTACTTGTTGGTCCCTGCCTGGCGCTCGGCATTATTGGGTACAACAAGGACTGGTCGGCTCGGAGTCAGTATAATGTGTCTGAGTGGGGTATTCATGCTTCACTGCGGCATGGTATCTCAGTGGGCTAGCACTATAAAACCAGCTTCAGTCTGGGCGAGTACAAGCAGCCGCACATACACATACTTACGCATGCACGTCGTCATATGAGCGAAATATTCTCAAGCACGACGTTAAACCCAATTTCACCTCTCCTCACCTACGCCAGAAAATAGCCAGTCTCGATATAAAACTGAAAAAGATTCCACTGGGTTTGAAAATCAAAATAGATTTGAAATTCAGACATCTGGATACGGTTCTGGAAAGCTTATGAAACAAAGTATACAAAGCTGTTGCTACTATGGGTAGAAGTGATATCTAGATAATGATCATGAATAGATGGGGTGATCAGATTTTGTATCCCTCTGAGCGTCCACACTACTATAAGTACGAGAGCAACGAGACTCCAGACAAGGACATGTTCTATATAGCTGAACATGTGCGGCTCACTTTAACAGGGTTATTCCAAGGTGAGAGACTGCATAGCGTCGTACCCCACGTCGGTGTGACCTGACAAAGAACCCGAAGCTCTTGCATACTTTAACAGTCGTTTCATGGACTATAATAGGACACCCGTAAAGGGCAGACCTGCAATGGCCACCATGGTAGGTACATTTATAACATGCAGGCAATTTGTTAAACTAAAAAATTCTTAAACTGCACAATAAGTCTTAATTTTTTAATATGCCCTTTAAACCAAGTGACATTTTTATGAAATGTTTCTTACCAGATTCATTACTTTGAAATCTATAAGATAAGATCCACTGATTATAGCACGGTTTAAAAACTAATATTAATGAGCAAAATAATGGTAACTATGTTACTATTCTAAAGTATACAACAGGTTTAAGAGTTTTACAGGTTCCTTTAACCGCATGAATACACTCGCAGTAGTCTAAGGGAGGTAATCGGTAATTGTTTCCCTTACACTTGAATTATGCATTCTATGAAAACTCATTAAGCAATGAGTATGAACATATGCATATGAAATATAGGGTTAAAACTTGTGATTATATATCAAATACCTTTTTGGATATTATTTTAAAGGTGGCCTTCAAATTCACATAGCAGTGTTGTAGAATGTCCATGGATATCACAGTGCTGGCTACTTTCATAAGTTACAGGATATAACACATATCTAAGACATTTAAGTAAACACCAACTACATATGACAAGTGATCACATATAAGTCACGGGATATAACATTCTACTAACACTGTACAACATAAGATGCTTGATTTGAGTTTGTTCATGTTTGTGATAATGAAAGGTGGCACATCAACATCACAAGCCATCACATTTAAGTGACGGGATACAACATTCTACATCACTGTACAACATAAGATGCTTGACTTGAGCTTATTCATGCTTGTGATCATGAAAGGTGACACATCAGCATCACAAGCCATCACATTTATGTCACGGAATACAACATTCTACATCACTGTACAACATAAGATGCTTGACTTGAGCTTATTCATGCTTGTGATCATGAAAGGCGACACATCAACATCACAAGCCATCACATTTATGTCACGGAATACAACATTCTACATCACTGTACAACATAAGATGCTTGACTTGAGTTTGTTCATGCTTGTGATAATGAAAGGTGGCACATCAACATCACAAGCCATTACATTTATGTCACGGAATACAACATTCTACATCACTGTACAACATAAGATGCTTGACTTAAGTTTGTTCATGCTTGTGATCATGAAAGGTGACACATCAACATCACAAGCCATCACATTTAAGTCACGGGATACAACATTCTACATCACTGTACAACATAAGATGCTTGACTTGAGCTTATTCATGCTTGTGATCATGAAAGGCGACACATCAACATCACAAGCCATCACATTTATGTCACGGAATACAACATTCTACATCACTGTACAACATAAGATGCTTGACTTGAGTTTGTTCATGCTTGTGATCATGAAAGGCGACACATCAACATCACAAGCCATCACATTTAAGTCACGGAATATAACATTCTACTAACACTGTACAACATAAGATGCTTGAATTAAGTTTGTTCATGCTTGTGATCATGAAAGGCGACACATCAACATCACAAGCCATCACATTTAAGTCACGGGATACAACATTCTACATCACTGTACAACATAAGATGCTTGAATTAAGTTTGTTCATGCTTGTGATGATGAAAGGCGACACATCAACATCACAAGCCATCACATTTAAGTCACGGGATACAACATTCTACATCACTGTACAACATAAGATGCTTGACTTGAGTTTGTTCATGCTTGTGATGATGAAAGGCGACACATCAACATCACAAGCCATCACATTTAAGTCACGGGATACAACATTCTACATCACTGTACAACATAAGATGCTTGATTTGAGTTTGTTCATGCTTGTCATCATGAAAAGTGACATATGAACTATGAAATGCTTATTTACAACATGTTACAGGCTATTTTACGTTGCTGCTACAACACATATTTCAAAACCATTGCACGTTTCAGCAATATTTCAGCCATATGACGGTATAATCGATTCTGAACCAGACAATCCAATGATCGATCTACGCAGTTAGGATTAATGGGACTTGGGGAAAATTGTATTAAAATTGTTTATTTGCTTAGGTATATTTCCATGATACGCGGTATGTACAAGAAGGTCAAGCATATTTAACTTAGATGTGACTTGGTACTTAGATAAGTAGTACTTATCCCACATATACAAATACAATGTACTAAGAATGTTGTAACCAAATACATAGGTAGTAGGAATTATCAGATTATTAAAGTTTTATTTTATCCATTGCAATCATCTTTTGTCAATGTTTGATTCGATTTTCAAACTTATCAAAGTACGAAATAATTTATCATTTTCATTCTCAAACTAAAACATATTTACAATATGATATTATTGAAGTAAAAAAATACCCCAAACCAATGCATTTTAATATAAAATATAACAAGGAATAGATTCAAACAATAATAACATCTTTGATACAAACATAGATCATATATGTGAATATTAAGCTAATAACAATATCATAACTGGCATTCTAAGGGAGACAATCGGACTGTCTCACTTAGTTGAATACTTGGACAAAAGTTTAACTTTAATCATCCTTGAAATAATGAATTTAGAACTTAACCTTATTTATTTCTGCTTTTATACCTTAAGGTTGACACTTCAAAAGTGTTTTCTATCATTACCAAAATGATAACTATAGTAACAAATATAATTAAAAGTATTGCTATACCTGATTCATGATTTCCTATGATTATGAAACTATCAGAAATACCGAACGATTTATATTTTCCTGTGATTTGTAAAGGATGTTGTCACTTTTATTCACACATGTTTAGATTTAGATATTTATGTTAAAACATGCTTAATTTCAACCAATATGTACAATGAATAAGTTTCAATTTTATTAGCCTTGGTAATTTCATTTGTCAGCCTAAAGAACAATACACTATTTTCATTACGTGATATCTCTGCCGATGTTTTCATAAACAGATCAAGTAACAAGTTTGTTAGTGATGATTGCCCTTTTATGCACTTGTGGAAGACGTACGTATTTCTCTGGTTGGTGTATTTCGTAATAATGGATTCATAGTTGAAACGTATATAATATTAATCTGGTTGACAAAACGTTAAAATAAACAAATCAAACATATTTGGTCATGTATGCAATACTATCAAATATGTGTAACTAAAAGGACCTAATTAATGTGTCATGTACATGCATTCATATGATCTTTGACAAACTGGTATACCTAGGTAGTCTATATTCTAACTATCTATACATTTCTAACTCAGTTCATTAAAATGCTACAAAATATAATGAAAACAAAGAAAATATTCAAACAGACCCATAAAATATCTATTTGATATAAAGTTAAACACATATCTGTAAATCGAGTTGACAATGAGAGAACTATCGTTCAAAGTTATACAATCTGGTTTGTTGCCTTTTGTATACACTTGAACAAGGAATGCCTAGAATTCTACTTGACTTTGTATACTAAGAACTGAAACATATTTACTTCTACATTTGCATGTAAAATCTCTAAATCCTCATATATCTATCAACACAGGCATAGTATTTAAAAGACCATATAAGTATTAGTCCCCTTTGCAGTAACAATATTGAAACATGTCATATCTCACAGTAAATTGTTTTAGCGTTTCTATTACATCCACAACAACATGAAATAGTGACTGACTAGCAGACAACAGCTTGTAAAAACAATGTATAAAACCGGAACTATCTGGTGGGCAGAAATATCATAAATACATTACAGAGACAACAATATTGAAACAATACTATACAAAACTAAAACCATTCATGTGATCAACGATTTACAGAGACAACAATATTGAAACAATACCATACAAAACTAAAACCATTCATGTGATCAACGACTTACAGAGACAACAATATTGAAACAATACTATACAAAACTAAAATCATTCATGTGATCAAGGACATAAATGTAATAGTTCTAAATAACAGGTTTAGGTGATGCATGTGTTTCATCAAGTACTAGAAATCCTTGAAGACGTACAACCACAAACTGCTAGTCATAGTATATAACCACATAGAATGGTAAGAAAATACATGTTGCAAGTAACTCATATTTGTCGTATTTGGACATGCATGGCAAGTATGTCTACTTTTGAGAATGTGGTTCATAGAAAACATGAAGGTACTCTCCAGGATTTGCTTTGCATGTTTTTGAGTGTAGTTCTAGAAATGACTTGCACAGTTTACATTTAGCTCGAATGAACATTTGTGGTTTGGGATTTGGCATCCTGAAGGCATACAATCCTTTGTAATATCCAACTGTCAAATTGTCCATTGGCATTCTGAAGGTGGCCTTGTGGGAAAGTTCGTATTTGACCGTGGAAATGTCAATATATCTTACAAAGTTCCCATAGCTTTCCTTGTCACGTGATGTAGTATCATTTGACCTTGACCCCATGCACATAGTTTCATGTCTTGGCCACAGTAATAATGTGGGCCTTCTTTGAACTATTGTTACCTGATTAGTTGATTTGCCTGTGTGAATTTGCTTGCAGAAATCTGTTCCCAATACTTCCGCCGTAATGAGATGGGATGCCCATCCCCTAGTCCTTTGCCAGAGACAGCAAGTTTTAGCAATTCATTCCTTGCTAACTTGTTCAAAAGAGAGTTAGTGACAACAGCTCCAAGATAATCAGGCACTGTCACATTAAAGGAATCTGCATTCCATGAAGGAATATATCCTTGGTATCCTTCAACAGTGAACTTTACAAACTGAGGATTATCCAGATTGCCTTCAGATGAGAGTAAACCCTTGCCCATGGTATTGCCCAGGCCAATGATCATATCCGCTATGGATGTAAATTGTCCTTTGTGAACAGCAAATATGGTTAAGTGATCTTTGTCAAATTTGACAATGTTAGAATCTGAGTCTTTTGTTTTTTCCACAACACGAATATGCTTCAGAGATTTCGGGAACTTCTGTTTTGAACCTTTGGATCGTGACGCAAAGTAACCGAAGGCTGTGGTAAGGTTGTTAAAAACTATCTCGGCATATGGAAGAAATGTATCATCTGGTGTTGGTTCCAAGAAGGTAACTGTTGGTTTTGTTGCAGACAAATCATCAATCATATTTGAAAGTTCTCTGCTTTTGTCTGACACAAGTCTGTGTCCAAGAGCAACGTTAAGTATGTTCGAGAATCTTGGGCACACGTACGTTCTCTTAGAGTTACTAACATTGCCTTTCACTTTGGGAAGTACTTTTGGGAATACAAATCGGACAGCCAATGGCTTCTGGTCTTTCTTTTGGGCATTTTCTTCAGGCACTGCTAGAGCTGGGTCACAAAAAATATACAGATCACTCTCTGAGAGAGGAAATATACTGAAATGTTCATCATCATGTGACATTCCTTCAGCAGTCCAGGCAGTATGGTCTTCCATTATGTTTGAACTACCGATCATCATGACCCCTTGGGACGACAGAAGTTCTCTTTTCTGATGTGTCGTCATTGTAACACCTGAAGTAAAGTTGTCAAGTGTAGTAGAAACATCCATGACAATTCGTTCAACAGTGGCAGGTTTGAATCCACATCTTTTTAGGTCATCTGTATCAATAACAATATTGATGCCTATCTCTGATCCTGTCTTCCAACATCTATGAAGAGCTATGCTATGGTTGCAAACCACATCACAATGAGGCCTGCATATACGAGAACGTGTAGTCCACGAATCAAAAGGGAGGAAGAGTGTGCCTTCTTCTTGCCCTTGATTTTCCGATCTGGTTAATCCCCTTTGTATCTTTGATGGTATATTCTGGAGAAGTTTTTGAACTTGAAAGGGGTCAGTAATGTGATATAAGACATTAAGAAAGCTGATCAACTGAAGCCTTTCAATTGTCTTCAGATCATTCATTTTATCAAAGGGTTGGTGGTACCACACACCACTGACTCGGGTTATAGGTAATGATTTTGCATCACTTTTCTGCAACAGTTTGAAATCGTATTCAGATGACCCTTCTCTTCTGACTTTGACTAAGAATGTGTCATAGGATATACCATTACCCAACTCAGCTGCAGTCACCCAGCACCATAAGCCTGGCTGAAGTTGGTTTTTCAAAGCCTTTATTTGTTCTTTTCGAAGCGGTGTTTTCCAAGTCTCCGTAATTCCTGGCCGATGTTGTTTCTTCACATATCCTGCTTTAGGTTCCGGTTGTGCTGGCCATACCCCTGGACACATACTCAAAGCAATTTCAATCTCGTCTACCAATTCATGCTCAATCTCTTCAACCGGTGATCCGGTATAATATTCTGCAGCATACTGTTCTAGTAACTTTAAAGGATCTGCCAACTGTCGACTTTCATTTCGAGTTATCTCTTCAAGCCATTTGCGTTTCTCAACAGGCATCAAAAACCTGAAGCCTGATTTTTCAGCAAGAAATACCAGATGCTTCTTTGGAACCAAACCGACTTCACTTCCTTTTGTCAGTATATGCTGCACCTCCATTTCCTTCAACTGTGCGTAGGTGTCGAGACCTGTGGTGGTCCAACCACCACTGTGGGATCGTTGTGCATACACAGTTAGTATTAACACACCTTCTTCAATTGTAAGGCTTACTTGAGATGAAACTGGGGCATTTTTCAGGAGTATTTTTCCTGCCCTGAATTCGTAATTGAGAAGGTATTTTACTCCTGCAGCCAGGCGTAGCATCTCTAACTGTATCCCATTCCGTCCAAGTGTTGACAAAGAATGTGTGTCCCCAACATTGCCAAATGATTTCCAGTCGACAGATACTTCTATCGTTTGCTTTATGTTCCTAACACTGTTTTCAAGTTCCCTCAAGCCACCATTCAGGTTGACATTAAACGAGTGACATGCTTTCAGAATGTTGTACAAAGGAAAACTCTCTGCTGCAAATGTTAATAATCCATCCTTGAAATTTATGTACCACGGCATAGATTGATCAATCAAACAAAACATAGTTTTATTTGTCTTTGTCAAATAGTCGGTGTGTTTGATGACTATTTCCCTCATGGGTGTAAGTAAATCTTTAACTGAATCCACCATAGTTTGACCCTGTAGATACAGGATGTCCGACTGAAGATCCATGCATCTTTTGGTTACCTGCACCAGTCCTCCAAGTTCATTGTTTGCATCTCGTTCTGATAGCATATTGTAGACTGTGAGTTCATCGTCTGAATACTTGGCATTGAAAGAGGACCAGTCTACTTTAACCTTCACTGCATGCCCAACCAGTTCAGTAATCTGCAAAAATAATGCATATTATGAAAATACATAAAAACTATTATACAGTAAGAATCAAGCAATATTTCTGTTTTTCTTGACTATATTGTTCTGCCATGTTACGTTTTATCATGCTAAGATCACAGAACACGTATTTTAAGTAACTATCAATGTATGTATAGGGTGTGGGTTCAAATCCCGGATGGGACTCAACCCCCAAAAGTACTAAAAAGTACTAGAATCTGTACTTTACTGAGAAAGTGTAATCCCAAATATAACATAAGTTACAATGTTTGTATACATACCATCTTCTCAGCTTCAGGAATGATTTCAAAATCAACCAGATTCTTGAAATAAACCTCCGCAGTTTGTCTTGAACTGACCATTGTCTCCACAAACCCGGTTGTCATGTCATGTAGTTCATGGCCAGTGAATTCGGTAAATCCTGCAAATAGTTCGCCTGTTTTAAGTTGTTTCTGAATCTGCTGCTTCACTTCCATTTTATGCAATTTGCAGTAAATATCAGTCCGTCCAGTAGTCAATCCTGATTGAGATTGGGATGCACACAGAGCAAGTGTGATCCCTTCATCATCCATCAATAGATCGGCTTCAGATGAAGATGCTGTATTCTTCAGGATAAGCTTCCTGGGTTTAGTTGTATACCAGAGCAAACGTTTCAATCCTAAAATCAGATGAGAGATCACCATGTGTAATCCATTTCTCCCAAACGCAGCCAGGATAGATGTATCTCCAACTGAGGAAAACGACTTCCAGTCAACAGACACATCTGTGCAGGATATCTGTCCTTTTTTCTCCACATCTTGTGAAAACGTGCAAACACCACCTGCTGAATGTACACACATGGTCTGATATGCCTTGAGCCGACTATAAATCGGAAAGTTCTGCACCACGAACCCTATTGTATCATTCTTATAACTGCAAATCCAAGGCATTGACTCTTCACATGGAAAGAGCACGATCTTTCTTGGCACTAGCACTGTAGATGACAGCATCACAACAATCCTTTGCAATGGAGTAAATAAATCATGAATACAAGTCAAGGCAGAATTTCCATGCAAAGCTATGATATCATCATAGAGGTCTTTGCATCTCCTTAGAACGTCAACTAGGCCTCCCAGCTCACTGTTGCGATCTGTTCCTGCCAGCAAACTGTAACAAGCTGATCTTGACTCGGAATCAACTTCATCAAAGGAAACCCAGTCCACATCTATTTTCACTCTGTGTCCAACAAGCTCATGCACCTACAAGAAGGGAACATTTCAAATTCAAAGATTTCATATCAGCTCGATGTGTACATCTTAAGAATAGTTTTATTTTGTCACTAACATTTTACAGTATATCTTAAAAACACATTATTCGTCTAAAAATCATGGCTTTAACAACATCCACCTATTTACGGCAGTCTCTATTTCCAGGAAAGTTATTTTTTGTCCCTTTTAAAAAAGCAAACATATCTAACGTGTGAGCTTAAATTTGAGGGTTAAATATTATGCAATGAAGAAACTAGAATGTATGTCTGATGGACCAATGTACAGTCTTAAAATGCTCAAATGAAGTGGTGTTTGGCTTACCAATATTTCGGCTTTTGAAATGATATCTGTTTCCACTTGAAGCTTAAAATAAGCATCATTGTGAAGATCATCTGGAACTCTTTCACTTGAACGTATGGACAGGATAGGTTCCCCACCATCATCTTGGTCAGGTCTCTCAAGTGCAACGTGGTCTTTAAGTGTTCTTCCATCTAATTCCTTGAAGGGTGATCCAGTGTCACTTGGTAGGCAGGTAATGTCTATCTGGTCCACCTCTTCCAGACTGTGCACCTGTTGTAAAACTGATGTCAGTGTTGTAAGGTAACTCGCTATCATAGTTATTAACCAGGAATCCGACACACCAACTGGTGGGTTTTGTCTGAAGCTGTCTAAGTCAACTTTCAATGATTTTCCAATGATCGTTTCTGGGAGCATCGAGTCCAGAGTAGCTGTTGATTCTACTTTCTTTTTAAGTTCAGGATTTTTGGTATTCATCACGAGACAGTTTGCTTCACTTAGTCTTTCGTCAGTCAATGACCGAATCCATGTTTCATCTCCAGGGTGTGATAACCCTGTTTTCCAGCGAGCAACAAGTGGGAGGCACACTTTTATGTCTGATATATTTGCAAAGTGACTTTGATCTGTGTCAGTCAAATGCATTACTGACATGACTTCATCATATAAGTCATACATTTGGAGACTAACTGTAGTCTGCAATGGTGTAATTCCCTCAATCGCTTTGCTAATAACTTCAGGGTATTTTTGCAGGATGAATTTTACAACATCAACAGAGTGAGTTGCAATTGCTGAGTCCAAGGCAGACTGAAGATCAAGTTTTGCTTTAGTTTGTTCAAGAATCGCAATTGCTGTACTTTCCCATCCTTTTCTCAAACAAAGTGATATGTTTGATATTGGTTCACTTCCTTTGCTTAGCAGCAGGAATAGTCTTGCCAAATCAACATCATCTTTTAATCCCATACATGCAAGGGCACTTTTCACAATGCGGTCGTCTTTTGAAATAAGGTAATATTGTAACAAAGTATCAAGCATGTGGGATTCGACATTGCCCGAGGTTGGGACATACCCTGAAGCTGTTTTCCCTCTGTCCCAGATGTTCCTCTCTGGACCATTGGTCTTTTGTTCAAGTAGGTACACTTTGGACCAGCCAAAACATCTATCAAGGAGACAATCTAGACATGTGTAATCTGTTTTCTTATGGGATCTGTGTTCAGAATTGATGGGAAAGCCTTGTTCAAAGAGCAGTGACGTCATGTGCTGGTGACCAAGAGCAATGCTATACTGACCAGCTTCCATACCAAAGTTGTTTTTGAGATGAATACTCTGTGGATCAGACTTTTCTCGCAAAATTTCAAGAATTGATTTGTCACCTGTCAGAACAGCCATATGAAATAGGTTCTCTCTTGTTCTCTTTGACACCCATTCCGTGTTTTGTCGTTCTACCAATAATCTTACACATTCCTTGTGTCTGTTTTGCACTGCTAAAGCCAATGGGATATTGCCTTGGATTTCTGTCAGCAATATAGTCCTTAGCGTCTGTTGATCCTGTTCTAATCTTGTCAGCAGAGTATCAATTACCTTTGATGAGCCATATTTAGCTGCAAAGTGTATGAGGGGTGCCTCTGCGTAAGTATGTGTCATTGCATTAAGAATATCCACTTCAGCGGCAAAAATCATTGCCATTGCAACTTCATCATTCCTTTGGCTCAAAGCATACTCAATTGTCCATGCTTTCCTGCCAACCGATAGTGTTGGGTACAACATGCTTGTCGATTGTGTGTGAGGAAGAGGTTCGGAACCATTTCTTGTCAATAGGTATCTCAACCAGCCACAGTGGAGGTTTTCCTTGGTCCATTTAAATGTAGTTTTCAATCTGAATGCTTCAGATAGGTCCTTGAGAAGGGAAACATGGCCCATTGCTCTTGCATAGTCTATTGGAGTTTTCTTCTCAATTTCTTCCCGTTCTGCTAACTTGAGACTCTTTTCCAAAATCTTACTAACCATTATCATTGAGCCACATTTACAGGCATAGTGCAATATTGTTGCTCCATGAGAATCTCCTTCTGTCAGATTTACATCAGGCAAGGTTTCAAGTACGTGGAGGAAACATTCAACATGTCCCTTCTTTACACAATTCATAAGGGTCTTTGGAAGACATTTAGATAGCATTGCTGTCTTCTCCCTTAAGGGCTCATCACCAAATTCCAGGACAACCCTGAATGTAGACACAGATCCACTGAAACCAGTTAGTTCTAAAAGAGTTGACAACGTGTCATCACTTAACGGTTGTTTCTTCTGACACAGTTCAAGCAATGTCTTCAATACAGACGTCATTCCATTCCTGGCTGCTTTCATAGCTGCTGAATATGTGTCGATATCATTTGATGTTCCCGTGCTTGTAGCAAACTTTAGGAGGGCTTGGGAAACATTGGTATGACCCTTTGATGATGTCACACTAAACGCCTCATTCAACAGCTGACTGATGTTACTTGGGCTGTTCTTCTCAAAGACTTTCAACATTATTCCAAGCAGGTCAGTGTTTCCTTTAGATACAGCCAGGTTAAATACATCAATCCAAGGTTTGGATAGCATCTTTTCTGGGAACCTTTGGAGGTTACTCTCTGCAACAATTTTCAGAAATGAAACATGATTCATTCTGACTGCCAAGGCCAGGGTGGTATCGTCAACACCTAGCGTATCAATCATGGCCATTGTAGTCAAAGATTTGGATACTTCATCTCTATTGCTCTGAAGAAGCATGATCAAGTCAGTTAATGTACAGCCATGGATGACTATCCTTGAACAAATATCTGATTGTCTCTGAAATGCATTCTTTAGTTTCCCTTTCAGATGAACAAATACACCAGGATTGCACATTAACGCTAATGCTACAAGCATGACGTCTGGGATCTTAACATCATGAGAGAGAGGCAAAATGTCTATGACCTCTTTGACAATTTCTTCTAGAGGGTATTGTGCTCTTGAGACTATGAACTTCATGTGTTTTCCTTTGATGTAATGGGACAGAATACTACTGTGCAGTGAAGAAATCTTTTCCTTTACATCTTTGTCTTTCTCAAACTTCTTCCATTTTCTAAGTGTTTCTATCACACTATCAACACCCGGGACTGAGGAGATAATTGCTTGACATGCCCTCTCTACTGTTATCATTGGATCCTTAATGTGCTTTGAAGATGTTTGAATAAGTTTCATCATCTTAATGTCAAGATTTGAAACAGCCAACGCAAATGGTGGCAAACCTTTTATTGTATCCATCATGCTGGAAAACATTGGCTGTTTCATCAGATCTTTCACCAAGGCCGTGTCACCTGCAATCACTGCTCCATGAAAGATATTTCCCCCAATACCACTTCCGACGTGTGACAAGGTCATAAGGTATTGAACTCTCTTTGACATTGCATCTCTGACAGTCTCTGATGATAGATATTCCTTTGGTTTTGAGGCTAGATCTTCTTTTAATGTCTCTGCGCCAGGTGCCAGGAACACAACACTTGTGGACTGCAAAGCCAATGCAACCTTTTTTGAATTGTTGCATAATAACTCAGGAATGGTAGAAACACTTTTATTGCCATCTGGTACAGTCACTGACAATGAATTATCTTTTGGTTTTGAGCTTACTTCTTCTTTAAGACTCTCAAAACCAGGCTTCATGGACACCCCACTGTTGTACTGTAATGCCAGTGCAACCCCACTTGATTTGTTGCGTAAGCCAGGATACTGCCTGACTTGTGTCATCATTGAAGGTCCTTCGGGTGTTGCATAACTCTCAAAACCAGGCTTCATGGACACCCAACTGTTGTACTGTAAGGCCAGTGCAACCCCACTTGATTTGTTGCGTAAGCCAGGATACTGCCTGACTTGTGTCATTATTGAAGGTCCTTCGGGTGTTGCATAACATGTCTTCTGTATTTCCAAATCTGGAACAGCTTTTATCAGAGTAGGGGAAGCCCCATTCATCAGCAGCAGCTCTGCAAGTTTCCAATGCTTGTGAGATAACGCGTACCACAGAGGACTGGAACCAGACGTATCTCGTAGGTTGTGACCCTCAATTTCAGACTTTTTCAGATGTTCCAAAATCCAGTAGATGGAATCGGTGTCACCAGACTTCGCCAGGCAATGGAGAACACTTTCACCGTGTTTGTCTTTTGATGGCTGAATTAACAAATTCAGAAATTCAACAAAATAGTCAGTTTTTGCCACAGATTGAGTAGTACATGCAATTAATTCCTTCACCATTGGCTTGATAATGGCAACATTATTCAGCAAGGCATAAGTGATAATCTGCTTCTTAACTGACAATTCTTGTGCATCTTCTCCCAACTGCAATGTTTCCATTCTCAAGACAAGTTTTAGGCATTCATATACATCACTCGGTTCCTTGTCAGTACTTGGAAAACAGATCAAGTCAGCAGTTGTCCAACCTTCTATTATCGGCATGGATGTAAGATTTGCCTTCCTCTTGAATGAATTTAGTCTTCCCTGTAACCTGTCAAATAGGCTAGGTTTGCTTAGCAATGCCAAGCCTGTCAAGACAACCTTTGGGATCTTTTCTTTCTTAGACAAGAAAAGAATATCCAAAACATAATTTCCCAGCTCTTCTAGGGAGCACTGTGCTGAATGTAAGAAATGTTGCACCTGTTTTCCCTGGAGATAATAAGATCTCAAAGATTCATACAATGAAGATACTCTTTTCTTCAGCTCGTGGTCCCTTTCCTCCACTTTCCTTCTCCTTAGTTTTTCTATGACAATGTCGATACCTGGCACCAAGGCAATAATTGCTTCACTTGCTCTTTCAGCAACTGTCACTGGGTCTGATATGAGTTGTGCATATTTCAAGCACAACTGAACTGCCTTCGTGTGCTGATTACCAATTGCCAATACAACCGGTGATATACATTCAACTTTCTTCATCATGTTTTTAAACATTGGCTGTGCTATTATTTCTGTCATCAAGTGTGTATCGCCTACAGTAGCAGCTGCATGAAAGATTGTTCCTCCCAGAGATTTTCCAAAATTTGACAAACCTATCAGGTATTTGACTCTTTTAAACATGGCATCATGTATGGGTTCTTCCTTTCGAAACGGCGTTGGTGGTTCAGAGTGAGAGTTTGGTGATACTCTTTTCCGTAAATTTGACTCTGGATTCAGGAATAAACTACTTTTAGACCCCAACGCAATAGCAACACCTCTTGAATTGCTCTTAAAGCCACCAAAGCACTTTTTAGTTGTGGCTCTAACC